ATTCCTGGCCAACCTCTAGCTACATGATGATGCACATGATGATGCGTGCACTGTTCATCAGTCAGGCAGAATGATTAATCATCTCCGAGCCTTACATCCTATGTAATCCGTGTGCTAGATGATCATGGAATATGCTTGTAGCTTGATCACAGACTCTATGTGCATGTGGGGCATAGCTACATAAGACCATACGCATATGCTCAGGGGATCTGCAATAGCAGATTCTACCCATTCTGTGGCCACCATTTCCACAACATTCATCTCTGGTAAGCCTATTGTACAATCCCTCTATAGCCTTCCCTAATTATCATTGTTCCATTGGTTTTTGTTGCACTTTTTGTTTTCTCTCACATGGTAAATAGTGATAAAATAAATTACAGATGTGCTGAGAGAGTTTCCAGCTGATTTGGCCTAGATTCAAACTATTTACAAGAAAATCTAAGCATCCAAAAATTGGAGCAAATAGTGGCTTCATGATCACTGGCTTTCCTCAGCTAAGCTACTGCTAGTGGAAAACACAGGAATGGCTCTTTTTTTATTTTATAATTTAATTTAATTTTACCTATCAGCCACAGATTCCTTTGTTCTCCCCCCTCCCGCACCCCCCCCCCGCACACCCACCCCCCATTCCTACCTCCTCCATGGCAAGGACTCCCCGGAGGATTGAGATCAACCTGGTAGACTCAGTCCAGGCAGGTCCAGTCCCCTCCTCCCAGGCTGAGCCAAGTGTCCCTGCATAGGCCCCAGGTTTCAAACAGCCAACTCATGCACTGAGCACAGGACCAGGTCCCACTGCCTGGATGCCTCCCAAACAGATCAAGCCAACCAACTGTCTCACCTATTCAGAGGGCCTGATCCAGTTGGTGACCCCTCAGTCATTGGTTCATAGTTCATGTGTTTCCATTCATTTGGCTATTCGTCCCTGTGCTTTATCCAACCTTGGTCTCAACAATTCTCGCTCATATAAACCCTCCTCTTTCTCGCCAATTGGACTCCTGGAACTCCACCTGGGGCCTGGCCGTGGATCTCTGCATCAGGTTCCCTCAGTCATTGGATGGGGTTTCTAGCACGACAATTAGGGTGTTTGGCCATCCTATCACCACATTAGGTCATTTCGGGTGTCTCTCGACCATTGCCAGTAGTCTATTGTGGGGGTATATTTGTGGATTTCTGTGGGCCTCTCTAGCACTTTGCTTCTTCCCATTCTCATGTGGTCTTCATTTATCATGGTCTTTTATTCCTTGTTCTCCCTCTCTGTTCTTGATCCACCTGGGATCTCCCGCTCCCCCAAGCTCTCTTTCCCTCAACCCTTGCCCTTCATTACCCCCACTCATGTCCATGATGTTCATGTAGATTTCATCGATTTCTCTGTCATTGGGTGATCCCTGTGTCTTTCTTGGGGTCCTGTTTTCTAGGTAGCCTCCCTGGAGTTGTGAGTAGTCTAGTCATCTTTGTTTCACATCTAGTATCCCCCTATGAGTGAGTACATACCATGTTTGTCTTTCTGAATCTGAGTTACTTCACTCAGGATGATTTTCTCTAGATTCATCCATTTGCCTGCAAACCTCATGATGTCATTGTTTTTCTCTGCTGAGTAGTATTCCATTGTGTATATATACCACATTTTATTTATCCATTCTTCAGTTGAAGGGCATCTAGGTTGTTTCCATGTTCTGGCTATTACAAACAATGCTGATATGAACATAGATGAGCAAGTGCCCTTGTGGTATGATTGAGCATTCCTTGGGTATATGCCCAAGAGTTGTATAGCTGGATCTTGGGGGAGATGGATTCCCAATTTTCTAAAAAAGTGCCATATTGATTTCCAAAGTGGTTGTATAAGCTTGCATTCCCACCAGCAGTGGAGGAGAGTTCCCCTAACTCCACATCCTGTCCAGCATAAGGTGTCTTCAGTGTTTTTGATCTTAGCCATTTTGACAGGCGTAAAGTGGTATCTCAGGGTCATTTTGATTTGCATTTCCCTGATAATTAGGGATGTTGAGCAATTCCTTAAATGTCTTACAGGAGATCACTTCCTAAATATAACAACAGTAGCACAGACACTGAGAGAAACAATCAATCAATGGGACCTCTTGAAACTGAGAAGTTTTGTAGAGCAAAGGATACGGTCAACAAGGCAAAGCAACAGCCTACACAATGGGAAAAGGTCTTCACCAACCCCACATCTGACAGAGGGCTGATATCCAGAATATATAAAGAACTCAAGAAATTAGACATCAAAATGCTCAACAGTCCAATTAAGAAATGGCCTATAGAACTAAACAGAGAAATCTCAACAGAGGAAACTCAAATGGCTAAAAAGACATTTAAGGAATTGCTCAACATCCCTAATTATCAGAGAAATGCAAATCAAAACGACACTGAGATACCACCTTACCCTGCCAGAATGGCTAAGATCAAAACCACTGAAGACACCTTATGCTGCAGAGGATGAGGAATGGCTCTTTTAAGAGACAGCTTCTTGACTGAGTGCTAGCTACTAATAGGGACATGGCTGTTTTAAGAGGCACTTTGACCAAATAGTTAAATGGGGTTTACCTATTTATTTTTATGTTTCCTCATGTATTTTGTTTTACTTTTTTTCATTTTATTTTCACTATCAACCACAATTTCCCCTGCTTTCTTGCTCCCATTTCCTCCCCAAACTCTCTTTGAAATCCCCATCCTTCCTCCCTCTCCACTCAGATGGGGAAAGGTCACTCTTGGGAATCAACAAAGTTTGGCATATCAAGTTGAAGCAGGACCAAGCATCTCCAACCCCAGTATCAATGCTAAACAAAGCATCCTACCATAGGTAATAGGTTCCCTAAGAATCAGGTAATGCATTAGGTACAGGTAATGGTCCCACTGCTAGGGGCCCCACAAAAACCAAGCTACAAAACTGTCACCCAGATATAGAGGGCCTAGTCCACTCACATGCCAGGTCCCTAGCTTTCCCACCAGAGTTCATGAGCTACCATAAGCTCAGCTCATCTGTGTATGTGGGTTTTCCATCTTGATCTTGATGTCACCCTGTTCATATAATCCCTACAACCTCTCTTCTGGACTATCAGATCTCAGCCCAGTGCTTGACTGTGGTTCTCTTCTTTTGTTTCCAGAAGGTACTGGATGAAGACTCTATGAAGACAATTAGGATAGTCACCGATTTAGTTACAGGGGAAGGCCAGTTCAGGAAGCCTCTCATTACAGCTAGAAGACTTAGCTGGGGTCATCCCTGTAACCCTGTCAATAAGACAAATGTCAGCTTACAAGATGGGAAACAGTCTTCACCAAATCCATATCTGACTGAGAAATGATATCAAAAATATATAGCCAGGCAGTGGTGGTGCACGACATCAATCCTAGCACTTAGGAGGCAGAGGGAGGTGGATATATGTGAGTTCGAGGCCAGGCTGGTCTCCAGAGTGAGTGCCAGAGAAACCCTGTCTTGAAACATACACACACACATACACACACACACACACAGACACACACACACACACACACACACACACACACACACATATATAATATATATATATATATATATATATATATATGTATATATATATATATATATATATATATATAAAGAAATTAGACATCAAAATGCTAAATAATGCCATTATAAAATGGGGCAGATTTAAACAGAGAATTCCCAACAAAAAAAATTTAAATTGCCCTGATACACTTAACAAAGTACTAAATGCACTTAGCTCTCAGGGAAATGCAAATCAAAATGCCTCTAAGATACCATCCTATACCTATCAGAATTGCCAAGATCAAACATCTAATGACAGCATATGTTGAAAAGCATGTGTATTACATGGTGTTTATAAGCAATGGACAGTATACTGCTCACTGTCAGCATGGACCCATCAGCTTCCCAGAGCTGCAGTAGTAATCAAGGCTCTTGATAGCTAAGCCATGAAGCTAGGCTCTCAGAGAACCAGGAGTGTGTGTGACACCAACAAATGTCATGTGCCAAAACATACAAAAACCTGAGCCCTGTATAAATGAAACAATCATAGGAGTTTAAAAATCTATCTCATGAGATCAAAAACAATACAGATGTTCATTAAAGAAAGATACAGACAGAAACAAATGTTTAGACACTTTAAAGTGTGTTGAAATATATACACATACCAGTGTCTCTGTTGTTCTTTTGTAATCCACACACACATCATACAAGAAAAATAATGTGGATTCTCCAGTATGTAAAAATACAGAATTTGGTAAACTTATGTTTGACCACTTTTGCTCTTAAAAAGGAGGTCATTTTAAAAATTTGTTACACTATTAGCTTGTTAGAAACAATCCCTTAAGCCATTGATAGCCCCATTATATCCACTTATAATCATCCTGCCTTATGAAGGTAAAATTGCAGCTACCAGGACTACAAAATAACAAGGTAAACTTGATGATTTTACCAGATCCTTGCAATGACATAATTTACCAACATTTAGTCCTTCAAAGTGTCCCACTGTTTTGGAACCCAATAACAGGTCTAAAGTTTTCACACTTTTTTCAGAAATGCACACTTATAACATTGACAAAAAGACAAACTTTCTCCAATATAATAATCTAGCATATTCCATATGGCCAGGAGAGACTGGACCAGAAAGAGAACCTTCATCTGCAACTTCTCTGAAAGCACATAATTTAAGACTGTCTTCTAAATATTTACCTTACACACACAGGCAACATTGCCGGTGACTGTCAGAAAAAAAACATATTTTATATTATTATAACACAATTCCACAACTGCTCAAATGGTAAAGAATTTATTATGTGCCAGGCAGTGGTAGCACACCTTTAATCCCAGCACTCAGGAGGCAGAGGCAGATGGACCTCTATGCATTCGAGGCCAGCCTGGTCTACAGAGCAGGATCCAGGACAGGCACCAAAACTGCACAAAGAAACCCTGTCTCTAACAACAACAACAACAAAGACCTTATAATGTTTTGTCCCAGGTCACCTGATCAATCCAGAAAACTCACCATTATTATCAGAATGAGAAAATCTTGAAGGCAATTGTCAGATGCAGTTCATATTAAAAAGAAAAGGATGTCTGCTGTGAAGATAGTGTGTTCTAAGAAAGACAGGGAATTAAAGAGCACAAATATTAGAAAATTAAAGCACCAAGAAAAGTGGAATCATACATAGACACATTTACAACTTATAGAATATTTTAAATTAATTGAAATGCATTAAATGAAATTGAAGTAGAATATGTGGAGAGTTATTGTGAAAACATAATTCCTTATACTATGAAGGGGTGTCAGAGTTTTATCATTCATGTGGCAAGAATGCATTATTTGTTTGAAATTATAGCCAAAGGCATGCCTTTAGTGTAACACTGAAGTTTCATAGTCCATTTCAAAAATATACTTACAACTCCCAATATGATGGAAAGAATCTCTTTTTAGTTCCCTACATATTAATGTCATTATAGAAGCGAAATCGATCTGCTGCTATTTAGAAGCTTCACCAGGATTGACTACATATGATAAGACTGAAGTTTATTCTGCATGTTAGTGGATTAAAATGAGGAAGAAAAAAAATTCCCACACACAGAAGCTACATACCCCAAAAGGGAAAATAGTGAGCAACATTCAAATGACAGACTTATATAAAAACAATTTCTTTCCTTCTGCCAAGGTCATACAGAAATAAACTAAGTCCTAATGACAGGGACATACTCATATATCTGTGCATCACTTGACCTGCATCAGAGATGTTACTTCAGGCAATAGTTGGGAAACAACACAATAATGTACAGAGAGAGTCTTTCTATAGAGTCTGAGAAGCTTTGGTGTACTATGTTCTGGTGTTTAATGTCTTCAACAAAATAATACATGAGTTCCCCATACATTTGTAATGAAGAGTTGTCAGAAAGATCCAAAGATAAAAATTTTGTACAGACTCAACTTTACTAGTTGTCATAGGAATTCAGAGTTGGGGGTAGAGACACAAGATAAGATCTGCAATTATTCAACTCATACAAAATAAATACCAAAGAAAAAAGGAAATCTGATATGTTTATTGTTTTCCAGGAAGTTAATGAATACCTCTCTGTAATCATCTATAAATAATTGATTTCCAACAAGGCCCATAACCTGTCTAATGTTGTAGAAAGGAATATGATGACAAGTAGAAAAAAATCAAGTACAAGAGATTCTGCATGCTAGAACACAGTGATAATGCAAACCAAGAATGCAAAGTTGAGCCTGTGAGAATGTATATGGCAACAGGATGATTACAATTAATTTTCCTATGTTATACTTTATTGTTTATACATTATTTTCGGGATGACAGGTAGGGTAGTGCCTACATATATTACTGATTGATATTTTCAGTAGCTCTAAGGTTCATGAATGAAACTACAATTCCATAGCCATCCCCACAATAAATCTCCCAGGGTAGAGGTAAGAGCAGCATCCTGCTAGTCTCTGCCAGGTTCTAAAGCCTCAAGAAAATTTTCTTCCTTGCCCATAGAGCAGGAATTCAAGACTGACACAGGGATGTTATATCCTTAAGGGAAATAGGAACTTCAGAAGAAGGAAAAGAACAGGATTTCCCTAGTCTCTGCCAGGTAATAACACCTGAGGTGAATTCAAACTCAGACAGAGAGGCCACATCTTTAAAGACAAGCAGTATATGCAGAGGCAGGATCTGGTTGCAGCAAATTTGGCAGTATTAGGTGAATCAGAGCTGTAACACTGGGAATCAAACAATTACTGACTTTGTTAATTTCCAAGGGCTAAGTCTCTTGTGTATTTAGGATCAATATGCCTTGTATGGGCCAATGTCCAATCGGGGTTTGGTTACACCCATGAACAACTGAGACCTTGAATATAGTCAGAGGCTGACTGGTAAGAAACACCTCTGCTGACACGTTTATGAGCTAGCTCTCCTTGCCTCTGATGGAGGAGTGTGTGCTTTCCAATTGTGTCTGGAACAGGAACATGTTGGCAAACATTTATCCAGCAGGTCTGCATGGAGAGGATGATTAGGACATGGGCCTGAGTGCAGGTGTCTGACATGGTCTAAATTTGGGCTGTACTGTACCCTAGGGCACATGGATTAAAATCCAGGCAATCTTGATACTCAACTGTATTTTCTATCATTTTTTTCTCCCCTAACTCCTTCTAAATAATATTACCTGCTGCTTCTATGAAACACTACAATGGGGAAATGGAGTCGGGATTGCCCCTCAAACAGGAAGCACTACAGAGAGTGATGTCAAACCACCAGTGAAACACAAATCCTGTGGTACTCTGAGATCTCCATCAGAATTGCTGATTCATTTCAGCCTCCCAACTAAATGTGTGCTGCAGCCGAAACAACAAAACTGAAAGTGAATGACAGGAAATGATGTAATATATCCTAGAACCAGAATGCAATTCTCAAAGGAGAAGAACATCCCATAGTAAGTAGGGGGTGATCATATATCCAGGTATTTAGCCCTGTGTCCTAGTTATCTGCTTGAAAGCCTTGCTTTCCACCTGCTGATGGCTGATTGTGATTTGGGGCTATCAATTGTACCTTTCAGGTAACAGTTTCCAATATACCATTTCAGATTCACCAAGTGTACTAATTTCTGGAAAATGACACATGAAATTTTCTTAGATTACCAGATGGCTAAGTGAGATTTTCCCCGATATTGCCATTTTTTAATAGGGCTCCTTAGGAATCATATGATCAATACATTCCTGTTTTGTGTCAGGTATTGTTTCCCAAAATAAATCCTCCTTGCTGATAATGCAGAATGCAAGACTGAGGCAGTGATCACAGATGTTAAGGCTGAAGCAGTGGCTTTAGAGACAGGAGCACATTTCCTGCAGAGCAAACAGGTGCAGGTGACTCAGAGCAGGAGTGTGAGAAATCCCACCAAATCCCTGCCTATCCTAGGTTTATATCACCTCTGTCTGATGCAGGTCTCTGGCACAGTTTTCATTTTCTGGTGTTTACAACCAAGCTCCTAGCTAAATCCAGCTTTGAGCTGGACTTTAGCCAGGAACCTGGCTGGTAAAACCCTTCAGTGCAGGCATTTTTATTTGATCGGACTGCCTCCTATTCGAATAGACATAGACTAGGAACCAATAAGAAGAAAGATCTCAAACCCAGGAATAGAAAGCAAATGATGCCAGTGAATTTGGAGATCTCCATCAGAGCCTCTGACTCACCTATCCCCCCTCCCTTGTAGGTTTCAAAAGAAGTCTGGATACTGAAAGGGGAACAGAGGATAAAATGTAAATTACCTGGGCCTCTGCCTCCAACTAAGAGTAGAAAACTGGCTGGTGATTGCAGTTGAAGTGATTGAGTTTTCAGCTGCTTTGACATAAAATTTAGCTATCGACAAAAAGGCTGCATTTCTGTCTGGACTTTTCTGATTGTGACTCTGTGCTGCCACGTGCATCTAACTGCTGTCTCTGTGTTGCGTTTGTGTCAGTTTCTATTGTGGTTCTTTTGGTTTTTTTTTGTTGTTGTTGTTTTTGTTTGGTTGTTTGTTTGCTTTGTTTTGGCTTTGATTTTCAAAAATCACATTTCTCTGTGTAGCCCTGGTACCTGTCCTGGATTTCCTTCTGTAGATCATGCTGGCCTCTTACTCACAGATGTCTGCCAGGTCTGCCTCCCAATTCCTAGGATTTGTTCATGAACTGCCCCCTCGCAGGTCTTCAAAAGACTGCCCTTAATCCTTCCAGACCTAATTCAGCCCTTCTCTCTCTATGTAACAGAAAGAGAGGAATATGCACTTGGGGCCCTAGGACATCATCTGGGACCCACTTTGGCACTTGTAGCGTATATGTCAAAAAAGTAAAGAAAAAAAAAGAAAAAAACTAAACCTCACCACTCAGGGATGGGCACCTTGCGTTTGTGCTTTAGCAGCAGCTGAGCTCTTTATTTGGGAATCAAAGAAACTAACCTTTGGATCACTCTCCCACTATAATCTGTCCCATCATTTAATTTATAAAGTCTTACAAACTTTACATTCTTCCTGAGTGCTTTCACTCATTGTAGCATTACTGGTAGATGCCACACTTTTTTTCCAGTCTTGCCCAACACTTCATATTTCAAGCCTTCTTCCTCAATTTAACCCTGTGCATTCTCCATCTCATTCCTGCACTGAAACCTTAGAGGAAGTATAGCGCCATCCTTCACATATAGAGGAGGACTCTATTGGACAAATTATTAAGGCCACACCATGTAGTTAAAAGGAAGGTTTATTTAGCAGGTAACTTACAAATGAAGGGATAGGTAGGTTGCAGGGTCTGGGGAAGGTGTATCATAGTCCAGTGGTGTTCTCCGGAGCTCTGCTCGGTCCACCTCCACCGTCCAGGGTCCAGGAACTGAGAGAGAGTGCTGGCCCATCCAGATCTCAGGTCTTCAGGTGCCTCCCTTGGCCCCGCCTTGTAGGCATGACAGTTGCCGAAGTTTCAATGGGGGTTGGAACTTCCAGATCAAAGCTGGAATGGCTACCCACTACATTTCCCCCTTTTGTCTAAATAATAAGGTTCTTACCTAATACAAGACTATATACAAAGGAATGCTTATCAAATATTATCCAGGAATAATGAGGGATAATGACCTAGACAAGATGGAACTACAACCAATGCAAACAATATCAAGCAAGAAACACATACTAAAGTCCAGAGAAGTATAGAGCATAGGTAAATGGCATGTTACAAATATCATTCCAAAAGATGTCCTATCCTAAAGAACCTGAATCTAATACTTAATATGTTCTATCTGAGACTATATATATATATATATATATATATATATATTTACTATACTAACTTGTAGCTATAACTGCTAGTCTTCAATCCCATCAAAGACCTGAGAAAGAATATAATGGTACCTGAGAAATGGTAGATGGATGCAAGCAACTTTCAGGAATCTTGCAAGAGTAGACCGAGGCAGCTGGCAGCCTGGACAGTCACCTAATGTTTCTCAGCATTGTTGCTGCATTCAAATTGGCTACAGGCCTAGAGTATCTGACAGATCATTTTCAGAAGCAGGAATTCTGAAAGACCATCTTACCCTGTCTTGGCAGAGTACAGTGGTTGCTTTCCTTGTGTCCCCCTT